AGTTCTCCCACTTTATACACATAAATTGACAGGTTTGCGGCGTATCTCACCGAAGTGGACGCGATACATTGGCGTACAAAATTATTTTATAGATGTTAATAACAATTTCGAGTAAATAGTTAAATAAATTGTGAAATAGCTGTTGAAATTTTGTGAAATTATGATTTGAATATTATGATACATGTTTAATAATTATTTATAGTCCATAAATACATGCGATTGTCCGGTTTCGCCGATAACTATTTAAAATTACTTATTCAATGAAACAACACTGGCAGGTCGTCCGACGTGTTTTGACGTTTACCCCCTCTCTACCTACCAAAAGCCTTTCCAACTTTTACTTTCGCTATACTTCCGTCTCATTAAAGATCTTTATGTTGAAAATAAATTACTCTCTTTCAATTAAATCATTTATATTTAAATTAGGATTAAGTAAGTACGACTTGGCAAAATAATCAGCAAATGCATTGAGAATTGACTGAGGAGCATTTAGTTCACTGCCATTGTAGACCATTTTATTTGCAATGCTACTTTTGCCCTTTTTTTTTATTAATGAATGCTCAATATTTTGAGGGGTTCTGACTAATAGCACCTTCCTGCTTTTTAACATGGACCTTGTCAGTAAGCTTTATCATTGTATATTTTAATCTGTCTCCTCAATTGTTGAAATTTTGAATCTTTACATGGTCAACAGCTTCTTCAAAAAAATTTATTAGCAAAGGATATGGGTAGAAGCATAAATTATGTCGAAATATTTTAGTTTGAGCTAACAGCTTCTCCGTTATTTCTAAGAGTAAATGGGTATCTCAGAACCGCCACAAATAAGAGTTCATTGTGAAATATTTTAAAGCTAAATGAAGTTACTTACAAAGACTTATCTGCGCCTAGAAGACTTGGGACGATTCCTAGTATCACATGACATAAATTAGAAAATTCTTTAAAAATTTCCCTGCTTTTTATTCTGTGATCGGTTGTGGTACAACCAGCCAATTTTCTGGCATTGGCCTTTAAAAAAAAACATGTTGAAAAACCCACCCTGAACACAAATCATCTGTTGGATGGACTTGGAACCTCAGAGTTCTCTGAAAATATATTTTCTGATTTAGAAAATGTATTCAAAAACTGCCAATGTTACTTTCATTAACCTTTTGAGAGGGTGAATGGTCTTTTCCAAAATAATCGCTAAATTGCCACCGACTGGATACTTCCTAAGATTATACTGTTTTTAAGATGTTTTTACTAGCTACGCATTTGGCTAAGCTCTTTAAAGCCGCATATCCAGCTTTGTATTGAAGAGTATGAATAGAAATAAGATCAAAATAGATGTCTAATACTAACTATCAAAACTCTGTCCAACCTCCCACCAGACATAACAGAACTTATGCTTAAAAACTCATAAAAGTTATCATCCATCGATAATTTTCATTGGTGTACAACATTTTAACAAAATTATCCTGTTCTAGAGTGTGAAAGCAAAATTTTTAAATCCAGAAAGAAATATTGACTGCATCAGTTCCTGCACCTGTATGTCACAGAAAAAGTGCAGCAATAGTTTAGCCACATATGCTAATGTTTTGGAAAATGCTAATTCTGTTTAGTTTGCAAGTTTTGTACTTATTTATTTTAATAATAAAGCTAAGTTATGCTTTATTTACCTATTGTAATTATTATCAAAAAATATATTTTTACTTTAGCAATGGTAATAGTAGCATATACTGTATCACTTATACCATCAAATGACATCTTTGCAATTTTTGTAGCTATCATTTCAAGCTCATGTTTTGTTAAAAATAAATGAGATAAATCATTTTGATGACCAACATGACTTTTGACATGTGTTGCTTCATAATTTTCTCTTTCTTTATTAATAAGCACCTGCAAACCAGCAGTATAGTATCCCTGCATTTTCAGATGCCTTATACCTGCACTTCTGTATTTAAAAAACCCGTGATGGCAGATGTAACTGACACAAACTTTACGTAATGATTCTGTACTTGTTTCTACTATATGTGTTGGACACTAAAAGTATCAGAAGCAAAAAATATACTTTTTTACGTTGGTATCAATATCAATATTACATATTCACATAACGGGCATATTTGTTCAACAATTTGTATAGCCAACATTGCACTATCAAATAAGTTTTCGTTTTTGTTGTCATTAGGAACAGTATCTAAAAAATGGTATTGTTATAGAATTGAGGTAAAAAATAAAACTGAAAATTTGTTTTACTATTTTGGTTGTATAATGTGTTTTGATGTGCATTTTTAAATTACTTTTATCACTGAAATAATTATGACACAAAGTGCTCGGAAATACACAGGACTCTACTTTTAAAGGGGCCAATTATTCTAATTTTTTGCATAAAATTTTTGACAGATTACCTCAAATCGTTAAAACGCTTGAAAGTAAGTTTGCATTATTCATCATAAACAGATTCCACATTTAACTTTTCATATTTCACTTCTATTTGTCTCTAAGTTCAAACTCGAGAAAAAATAATGAAACATAACCACCAAATTTAACTTATAAATTTGGCAACATTGTTGGTACCTGAGTTGCGGTTGGGATGTAGACTCTAGTAGTCCACAATGGCATTCCATATACCAATCCACTGAGTTTTAGGGGTAGCTAATGGATTCTAATGTATTGGAAGACAATGGATTCAAACCTTCCATTCACATGGATTGCATATTGACACACAAATGACTTCGTGTAAATGGTCATCAACAGAGATATCAGATATATTTTATTAGTATTTGATTATCGTTATGATGAATCTCTAAATGCTGTTTGATTTCTGATCTATTACTTTTCTGCAATCAGCGATTTCCATTTATATTTGACGGCTTTCCTTGTATAAAAAAAGCCCTTAATCCTATTACTCTGAAATCCAAATAATTAACTCTGAAATGTCAGTTATAGATTTTTCGTTACAACAGATGGAGAGAGCTGACACATTTCATGGGGATAATCGATGAAAATGGCTTTTGCCGTAACAGCGTGAATAATTTGAAAATGATTGCAAAGCTTATGTGTACATTTTCAACGTATATGAAATAATATGTTAATTAATTTTATATAAACCATCAAAGTCCGCAACCAAAAATAGCTTGATGGCAAAGTGAGTTATGAGCCAAAAAATAAACAAAATTTAACTGTTGGATATATTATGACAAAATAATTATTATTACTTTAAAATGTGTAGGTAGATTTTGATAGTTTTCTGCAGTTTTCAGATTTTTGTTCCTTTTGATGTTTATCTCTGTTTTTCGTCTATTTTATAATACTTAAAACTTCCAATTCAAGAAGACTTCTGTCCCTTATTATAACAAATGATTTGGTTTTTGTACTATTTGTTGTTTTTACTTGATTTTTCGTCTATTTTGTAAAAAAAATCTATGATTTCAAACTTATTTAGCGTTTTAATAACAAAAACTTCTTATTCGAAAGGATTTATGTCCTTATTAAAAAATTTTTTGTATTATTTGTGTGTTTATCCGACTATTTTTTAATGAATTTCCATTATTTTACACCTATTTAACGTTTAAATACTTAAAACATCTAATTTAATATAGATTTCCTAATATATAATTGTTGAATTATAAGTAATTATATGTATTTGTGAAAATCGAAAATTAAAGTTGAAATATTATCAAAATTTCTCGTATGAATTAACATATTACGTTGTTCAGATAGTGTCGGAGATTAACTCAGACAAGAAAATTAATTAATAGTTTCAAACGAGATATTTAGTGCTCCCTGTTTTTGCCTGCCGGTAATTAAATCCTGACTATAGAGAAACTAACTGCATAGCGACTAAATTAAAACGAGAACATGAGACTGTCGTTCAAAAAAACATGAGAAAACGAGTGAAATTCAATCAATCGAATCAAATTAGTTTTCTATATGCAAAAGGACTATAATGAACAGTTATATAAGTATTATAAATATTGTGAAAATTAGTACAAGTGTTGCGGATCGGGGAAAACTATTAATTTTGATAATCATTTACATATTTATCAAATATTTTTTTCTCTAAAATTTCAAATAATTAAAACTTTTTGTCATTAAAATTAAAACTATCAGAAGTGTTCAAGAACAACCTCAAATTATTTATGAATAGTATAAGTATTGTTTAAAAAGTATAAACAGAAACCTTAGAAAGAATTGGAAATGTGTAAACCCTTTTTCGGCTATTGGAAGCCCCTTAGTACTAAGCCTCCTGTACTAGTGCAAGACCAGCGACATAAAGTGCCATTTTAAAGGATTTTTGTTAATTAAAACATACATGCAATTAATGCAATAACAGTAATTCATTGAATTTTCTTCTAGTAATTTCAGTATAGGCAACACAAAATGCAAATAAAAGCCAATTTGGTAGTATCAGTGTCAAATTTAGCATATTTTTGGTATTTGTTTAGCAAAAATTTATTTTTACTATTGACAACATCTAAGTATGATTTTCAACGCCTTAGGACAGCATTTCTTAACCTATTGGGCGCCCCCCCTAAGGGGGAGCCGTAACTCTACGTGGGGGATGCCAACACATCAAATTAAAAAAAAACGATAATTACTATTAAAAAAAAATAATTCTCAGAAAGAAAAGCAAAATTTCTGACATTACAAAAAATTAAGTACAGTACACGTTTAAACTAATATACTATTTAACTATAAATATGATTGTATCAGTAGGTACTGTCAAATGCCAAATGAAATTAATCATAAACTCATCAGTGCTAAATTAAAAGCAACTTTAATAAGTATTAATAACTCCCTCTTGGACCTGTCTCGCAGAGCAAACTTTTTTAAAAGAAGAATTTATATTACAAATAGCCACTCTCAGTTCTTTTATTGTGTCTTTAAAGCAGCCACCACAGAAAATCAAGCTTTGCAAAGGTAGGATGTTGAAAAAGACAATAATATACAAAATGCTCTTGTTTTCAGTGGGGAAAAGACATCATCGTCTCCCGCCTAAAATTAAAAGATTTGTTTCTAAATTATCTCTTGAGTTCGCCGCTTGCAGTAAAGTCTATGAAGATTTCTTCTTTTGCAGTTGAGAGACCTTCGGGAGTAGTTCGAAATGGATCCCTAATCCACTCGTAACGTGCTACCAATTTGTCGTCAGCAAGATAATTCTGAGCCAACATGGCTAAATGACTTTCTATTATTATAAAAACAACTTTTACATAATTTTCTTCTTCCTTGTATGTCTTAGCATACTCATTCATATTTGCAAATATTTCTAGTTTTTTTTCGTTACAGATTTCTACTTTACAGCTCCAACTTTCTACAAAAAGCAATTACTTTATTACTGGTATCCAACATATGTGTGTTTGCTTCTTGGAGTTGAAGATTCAACTAATTTACCATACACTAAAAACTTCATAATTGAGGGATAGCATCATTAAGATTCACCAGGGGGACAACGTACAACGAAAGCACGGATGCTTTCATCAAAACCTTAACATATACAGAAGAAAGTAACAGGACCCTCTACAGTGCCAAACAAACTGAAGAACAATTCTCACGGGCTAGATGTCTCACTTACATGATGTCGAGAGCACTATCTATCTAAAATTTTTATTTATAGTTTATAATATTTATCTACATTTTCACACAATAGTTGAAACAATTCGACACTTGGCATGTTGCTTCGTGCGGGCCCGAAGACCATGGCAGACATATTTGCCTGTTAAAATCATTGTGGGATTAGTGTTAGGATAATAGCGGCCCTTACTCCTTACCGTTTCGGTATAATTGAGGGAATTGGATTGACTTAAAATCGGTAATTGAGAGATATTTGTAATTGTGTCGTGTCTTAGTTGTGGTTATTGTCGCCTAGAAAATGCTAGTAAAAAACAGGGTTGTCCTTTTCTGTATGTTGGTCTTTGTGTAGGGTTCACAAATTATATTTTTCAGGTCCCTTTTTAGCATGATTATCGGTGATACCTTCGACTACGATGGGTGGGATCGCCGGTTTCTCTGCCGCTTTAGCTGTGTTTGTAGCTGTGTTGATGGGTTTCGGTAGAGCTTCCGTTTTACTGTTTCCTCCTTGTGTCTCTGGGGGACCCTTAGGTTCTTCTTCTGCCTCGGATTCTGATTCTGTCAGGACTTTATATCTGAGTTTAAGATTTAATGATCTGACTGCTTTTTGTCGCAGCACTTTAACGAAGTTAGTTGAAAACTTTTTTGGAGTTTGAAATTTCCCATCATTTGTGTCTGTGTCCATTGAAATTGCATTTATTTTGTCCAGGTTTTCGGGTAGTGTTTCATTTGTCTTTTTTATTTTGGGTATTGGCGATTTTGGAGACGTGTATTGTGGTCTCTGGGTTAGTAGCGGTGGGTAGACATCTCAGTTTGTACCATCATCGGGGGTAGAGGCAGGGGTATTGGTGCCTCGTAGGAGTCGTAGGTATATGATGTTTCCTCCCCTGCAAATTTCTCATTTTGACCGAAATTCAGTATTGTTGCTTTGACGTGACCTGGCATTGCAAGTGTTATGTTTTATTTTGATTCAAAAGTTGAATTAATTTTGATCGTATCTGGGGTACCTGTCTCCGATTCCTAATCATCTATGTGCAGATCGACTGAAACATCTAATTCTGCTAGATCCACTATTAGAGCCTTCAAGCGTGTTTATGTTTCTCTATACTTCCGTTTGGGTCTGATCGCAATCCTGAGATACTTTTGAATCGTCGTTAAAGTCGCTCGTTAGGTCTAAATGTGTGTTGTTATCGCTCTGCGGCTGCTGTGGCTGTGTTTCGGTAGCGTTCTCCATACTTTCGAGATTTGTCTTCTCCATACTTTCGAGTTTTACTTGCTCCAAAGTTTTATTTTCGACCGCTGTTTGAGACCGATTTTGTTAGCTGTCTAGTATCGAATTCGATATTCCTGCGGTTCCTTGACTCTTCATTTCCGGCTGTTTTGTTCTTTCTCCAAACTTTTTTTTTTTTAAATTTCGGTCAGGGGGTCCCTTATGAATGTTGTATATGACCCCGGGTAAGGAGGGTTAGTTGGAATTCTTTCGGTACTCACAGTTTTATATGAATGTATGTTTCTCTTTATCTTCGGGCTTTAGATGGCGGCGTGATTTTTCGACATATTTACGTTCACTGTTGGCGGTTTTGCGGTGGCGTCTCGAGTACAAAGTCTCGTATCCGGCTTTGGTTGGCATAAAGGGTTCTCCCATATGCGGGGTTACACTCCGATTGTTTTTACACTATACCTGGTGACACGAGTTTATTCGGACAAATAATAAAACTGGAAAAATAGTTTATGTTTGCAAAAGTTCAAAAGTTAGGTTTTGTTACATCGAATACGTGATAAACGTAAGTCTGGGTAACGGCAGCCTAGGCGAGTTTTACGTCAGTCGAGAGCACTTTACACCCTCGACTGTGGTTTTTTCATGGGTTTTTTTGCCAACTTGTCCTGAGAATTGTGACATAAAAGAAAGACTACGTACAGGATCACACACGAACAATGACAACCCTGTTTTTTACTAGCTTTTTCAGGGGACAATAACAATAAATAAGACCATCCAAACTTCTAAACTCATACAATTCCCGATCAAAAAACACCCAAAATCCCTTAATAATGCCTTTCTGGCAACAAGTAAGGGTGGCTATATTTAGGAACATCAAAACTGGACACAACTCTAACGTATTAAAGGAAAAGTTTTCGTCATAGGCCTAGCGGTTGCCTGTAGGCCGGTACAATAACACTAGGAGTAGTGCTTATTATTTTATGTTAAGTTGTATATATTGTAAATATTTTAACAGATGAGTAAAGGTTTTAAATAAATAAATGGCAGAATAAGGTCTTCACCAATGTTGTGAGCCTTTTTACAGGGACAAGTAAATCTTTTTTGTTCACAGACAAAGTTTTTTGAAAATGATGTTTCGTCTACATTCAACGAATTCTCGGGGCTTGTTAACGTACCCACTATGAAGTGTTTCCAAATGGCGTCTAAGTTCATTAGGTTTCATGCAGTCTGCTGCCAAATGACGCACATATGTCTTTCTTCTTCATTTATTAGTAGTGGTGTAAATCCAAAATTTAGGTATTCTTGCAAACATAATCTTGATTTTCTCTTCGAAACCATGGTCGACTGTGTACTTGATGATGCTTAACTATTGTCTAAAACTCCCTTACGTCTATCCATAGTTCTATATCCATTTACTGCCGTAAATATATTACAAGGAAATACGTTACAGTTATATAAAACTTACAAAATTTGGCACCACGACTCGACTAAAACTGACCGAAACCTCTAACACCCGCAGCATTTATACACGCTTGCTCCGTTACCGAGAAGATCTTCCTTACTATTCCAAACAAATCTAAACCACAGTCGAAACTTCTCGAAGCGACGGTTAGCCGCAAGAATGTTCAATCTCCATCGTAAATGACAGAGGGCAGACGAAAAACATCGATTCTGGCTTTACGCTTTACCTTTATGGGATGTAGCAGAGCGGCATTGCCAAGTTTCAATAAATTCGCCCATTCTCGGTAATTTTGAAGGTTTGTAATTAAGTTCTATATTAGGCTCTAGGCCTAGAGTCTAGGGTCCAGGGCAATAACAACACGCTGCAGTAAGCGGGTTAGGGTAAAAATTTTCAACGTATAGTACACGTCGTATTTTATAATTATATGAAAAAGAAAGGTAGGGGGCGGCATAAAAATTGTTATTGAAAATTGGGCACCTAATACTGAAAGGTTGTGACACGCTCTTAGGAAGAAAAATCATAGCTAGAGTGTTAAAATTATATTTCATGTGGACTCTTTTTCTTTTGATAAAATACAATGCCTGTTGCGGTATTAGCGAATGAAATGGTCGTTCAACTTTGCTATGACACGGACATTGAGTTTTCTCTTTGTCTTTGATATTCATTTACGTATTTACTTAACTGAAATTATTTCCACAATATTTTTACCTAAAGTTCTTTATACTGTGCTTGTCGACATAATTAAATGCGTAATACAGGGTGTAATATTCAAGCAGGACATCAGCGAAGAATAATACTACTTTTTTTATTTATACCAGTATTCTGGACGTTTCATCAAAAGTAAAATTAACTTTTTTATTGTTTGGGTACAACTAAATCCAACCTAACAATAAAGTAGACATAATTGCACACCTGTTTATTACACTCAATGTAACATTCGTTGTTTCTATCGTCATGGTCGAGAAATTTTCCAGGCACAAATGTAGGAAAGTATTCATTTATACCTTTTGTTTTAACTCGTCGCTAGCCGCTGTTGTTTAGGGTAGCAACGAATTTTGGCGAAATAAAATAAAATTATAACCATTATTTAGTTAGAGGATCACAATTGAGTTAATTTCGTAATAAAGTTAATTGTAACAGCGGTGGATGTAGGTAAAATATACCCTTTTCTTTTTTTGTTGTAAATGTTCTAATAAAATTATGTATTTGAGGAGTTTGCGTTCAAAACCAGTTATATCCATTTTTATAAAATTTTCAGGAATCGATTTTGTACTTGAAAAATAGTAAGATTCTGTGAAGGGAAAAAAGCCATTAATTTTTTTTTAAGAATAAATTAAATAATGTTGAGAAATTAGCCAAAAAATATGGATATAACTGGTTCTGAACACAAATGAAACAATTTTAAAAAAGCTCGATCCGCAGGAAGAAAACTGTGTCCTCGAACTGGATATGTTATGATTATTTCCTGTATATTTTCTGGAGACTTATGTTTTAGCCAGTAAATTAAGTAGAGAATGATATGCAGAATACAGTTTTTACGAAGAAATGTTAGCATCCGAACACATTCACACCAAATGAGTAAAGTATTTAATAGTCTCCCCGAATCATATAAAATGTACCTTCTCAATATAAACTCATTAGAATTCATTAAAAACCGTTTTAAAACTTACATTATAAACTTAATCTTTTTTTAATTTTGGCTTGTTATAATGTTCTGTTTGTTTTTATTGTTACCTTTTTGCTACTTTTAAATAAAATACATGTTGAAATAGCTAGAATAATTTTGTGTATAAAAATAATTGTCAACACATTCCAATATTATAATATATTCGTCCATGCACAGCCTCTTTGGCTTTTATGAACTCGCACACACGTTTATTCTGTTGCTGTTATTATTCTTTTTAAATTTATATTACTTATTCTTATAATGTCAAATTTTTGTATGTATTAATTTGTCTATTTTCTAAATAAACTATTATTATTATTATTATAATCTGATAAGGTTTATATTTTCACAATTTAAAGTTCCAAGATGATGCAACAACGCTGAGCCAATTTGAGGAGCTCCTCTTCCACCTAAGTCTTCCATCCAAATATAAAATGTTGGATCTGTTGAAAGTCATGGACACGCAGCAAAAGAAATACAGGCTAATTTGGTGAGCATAGAAGGCATCTCCAATAGGTGTACGGGGAAGAGGCTAAACCTATTGAAGGTCAAAACAAAAAGTAATACTGTTGTCTGGATTTTCACGACAAAGTTCATAGAAAGTATTGGCTATTTTTTCGTGCATGCGGTATTCCAGTATAATATTGTTTATTTACAACCATATATGTAATGTTGTCATTACTAACGTCATTGAAGGTTGGGAAGTGTCACATTATACACCTCTACTTCCCGCCCTCACTTCACGCCCTCATTTCATCTATTCTAGATGAATATTTTTTATATTTAAAAAAAATAACACAGTGTTTGACAAATTTTATAATACCTATTTAATGGCAAACATTAAAAAAAAAACAATGATCTAAAATATAACAAACTACTTATTGATATTTATTATTCGCGAATTTAATATCCGGCTTTATCTGACATTTATTTATATTGGTGACAGTTGTTTACCCCGTAATCACAGTAACAATATATTTACCTACTTGATTATTCTGAGAAAACCACGCGCTTGGTAATTTGTCGTTAAATGTAATATTTTAGGTATGTTCAGAACAAAACAGAAATTTATTAACTTTGATCGAAATATGATGGTTGTAAATAAAATAGTATACAAACCTCGGTAGGAAGTTTCATTCCTGTCTCGAGATCATAGCTAACCTCGACGCTTCGCGTCTCGGTGATCTAACTAATTTTACGACAGGAATGAAACTCTTCCCACCTCGGTGTGTAATATACTATTTTCTTTTCTGGGTCATTGCTTTGTTTTAACTGCTTTTTCAACCTCGTATACTTGGAGCAAACATCGGAGGCAGGGGATGAAAAACCAATAATAAA